TTTTAATTTAGAAATAATTCACTCACAATCAAATTCAAACGATGTTGGAAAATTTTAGCCTTGATGGTCAGTAAGACTGTGCTTTAATTCTTTCCAGGGTCTTGAGCATACCCGAATATTTGCATGTGTACATGGGTGTGCATGTGTGAGTGTGTGTGTGCGCGTGCGTGCACGCACATGTGCGCTACAGGTAACCATATTGTATATATAGTTTTGAATCTGGCTTTTTCATTTAATGTGGTATCATGATAAATTTCCCCTGTTGTGAAATAGTCCATGAAAGCAAGTTTGTTTGTTGTTCTAAATATGTACCGAAGATTTTGTCACATGGGAATACTCTATTTAATCTTTTCTGTGCTGCTACTGATTTGAACTATTTCTAATGTTTAAAAATGTATGTATTGAATTAAGTAAGGCTGAAGCCCCCACGCCTTACAGGGGTCACCGACTGCAGGCTTCGACTCTGAGAACGGGGCATGGAACCCGGAGCAGACGGTCGGTGGCAAGGGGCACGTTCCAGGTCCTTGTCACACCATGTGGGACGTGACCGCCCGCGTCTGAGAGGCTACCGCTGGCACCCTCTCCGGTGCTGCGTTCACAGTGTTAGTCTTGTCCCCATTTGCTAAGGAAATTATATTTATTATTCCCATATCTAAAAAAAATTCTTAAGCAAGTTCTAGCATTTCTCATTTATTTGCATTGTCTATTATGAGAGAAAAATGCAAAACTTGTTCAACATGAAAGCTTTAGAAAGAATCTAGAAAACATTACTTTCGCACTCACTATACATGGTATCAGTGTGTCCTCTATTAATATAAGGTTTACTGACTTGTGAATTTATATTTAAATATATTCCTTTGGTTTTGATTTTGAAATACTGTAACTACAGATCTTTTTAAATGGTATCTATATAGTTTATGTTTATTTGATTTACTTTTATGTGTACGAATCATACATCATTAGTCAAATTAGACGTAATTAACTACATACTAGATTGAAACCAGAGGATAGTTATTTTTTAGTATTTAATAGTTAACACAGAATAATTTATAAATATTTTTCTGCATTCCCCTTATCATGCTAG